GTCCTTGGGTATACCGCGGCCGGCGATCGATCACCGGACCTTGCGCTCTCTGGGCGGACGCTCTACCACGAGACCACAAGTTTACTAAGACCAAAATGTGAATGTCCTATCGTTGTTGACCGTCACGCATGGGTTGTCTCCCACATTGTTTGTTTACCAGGGCTATGTGGTGCTATTCATTATATTCTCATTTAAAGACACTGCAGAATTTTGTCTTTATTCGAAATATCCAAATGCAGCTGAAAAAAATCAGTTTGAAAAGGTAATACAGAAAAGAATTATTATATCTTTTTCTCTACATCTTTCTATTTGCAGAATTATTCACGTTTCTTCAAATACATTTTCTTGTAGATTTTTTTACAATGATAAAAATTATGTCACACATGTTCTTCGCACAGGCTTATTAAATGAACCTAACGTTTCAAATGACCCACACAATTACCGCGGCTCATTTGGGGGTCCATTTACTACTGCCACAATGGACATCCATATGAAGAATTGCATCAAATGAGTTCTGTTTCATTGACAGAACAGTGACAAATCAATAGTCAGACATTGGTGGAGAAATGAGATCAGACCATTCTTTGACGACATTCTATAGTGATGTCAGATTGTTATGTGCAACGCAGACATACAACCTTGGTGTTATTAATTTTAACTTTGGCTTATTTGACTACATAGAAATGAAAGGATTCTCTCTTTATCAAAAACATCATTTTAAATTAATTTCTTTTTACTATGACTTTCATCTTTATGAGTTCTCGTAGAGGATGAGCATAAACAAAAGGTTTCTAAGACCTTTGTACAAACTGCTTATTAAACAAAGTACATTAATATTATCTTGGCATGGTATCATTGTCACACAATCGCTAATTACGTATAATTATGTGTGTTAGATCTTTTAATTCTTTTTCTTCTATGGCGGAACATTGCGGAAACACTTTGGTTTCATGCCATAAACCGAACAAGATAAAACAAACTTCATTTCCCGCGTTCTCAGTCCCCTGACAAGTCTACCCAAGATAAAAGAACAAGACTCGTGATTTTCACTCCCAGGGTTCTGAAAATACCGGAATTACGCGCATGTGCACAATGTGAGTTCGATGTTTTGAAAAAAATGCGAGTTTCACATCGTCTGTAACAAACAAACCCGATGTTCTTTCATGGCGCTCCGACAAGGAATCCTCGGCAGAATATCAATGGAACTGTCTAACCTATCACGTACAACCGGAAGTGCCCTCTGTGTTCGTTTGATCAGTCACTTATGAAACAGAGCACATTTCTTTTAAGTTATAAATTATGGTCTTTTAAGTGATTTTGTGATAGACATACTCTGTAATTTGTAATCATGGCGCACTGATTAGTTACGGTGTTGTTCAGACGACGTAGCATTTCTGTGTCGTATTTCCGTTAAACATATCCCTGAGGTTAAAAACTGATCATTAACAATCATGTCATTTGGAAAGGAATAAATGTATTACAGACTTCATCAAATAATTTGTTTTAATCTATGCCTAGCAAGTCTCTTTCTGAAATATACTCTTTTTCTTCTGAGTCAAGGTTAGTTTTACAACTTGTGGGACAACCTTTATATGGTTAACGCAAAACATTCATATCAATGATTCCAACTGCTTTGAGTTTATAATATGTGTATATAGCAGTAAAAAGTAAAATCCTTAGCGTCAAATTAACTGAAGATTGTGATGAAATCAAGTTAGTTTTTTAAACATCACTACTACTAACTTGTTTAAGAGACCCTACACCACCATGTTGGTTAAAGCCCCGTCCTTGGTGTAACCAGAACCAGGCAAGCCACAATGATCGTAATTACACTAACTATCTTTTGCCGATGCAAATAGAAAAATATGAATTTTTTGGGATCAGTTTTATAAATTCTTTCACGTGCTAAAGCGCTGGGAACAAGTGCTCTGTAATCAGCAGTTGCTGATGGACCTGGCTAGGAAATTGGCATCGTCAGATTTGATGAAGGGCAGTAGCAAATCAATCGTAGCAAGCGCGAGTTTCTAGGCAGTGGTAATGACATTTTCCCCATGAGCAAATGCTAAACTCCGCGAAAAGACTACTGACTAGAAAACTCTGTATTCACGGCTCCCAAACCTACGGGGCACTTTACGGCTCCGTCATCGATCCACAATGCTGATAGACGAGTGAAATTTGTGAACCTTGTCTGATTCAATGGCAAAATATGTACTAGGATGTTGGGACGAGCTTTGGCGTGAATTGCCCCCCACCCCAGTGGGAAATCAGGCAGCGCGGGGTGATACTGCCTCCCTTGCGACCATTTACACTGATCAAGTGCGCTAATCTCGTTTGTTTGTGTTCACGCGAGAATTTCAATCTCGATTCGTTGTAATTCGGCCCTCTCCACGCCTAGAAGATCTGTTCTGACAGTCTAACCCTTTAGGCTGTCTCCCTCTCTCCTCAGCCCTAAGGCCAGCCTATTACCGGTAACCTTCGATAGGGACAAATTGATAGACTATTTGTTCGATATTGACAATGTTTGCGCAACCGAAGAACTGTGTTTGGTGGAAGAATTCTGACTAGTCGAACAGGCATATTGATCTTAAATGTGTAAACAGATATTCAATTCAATTTGTCCTGTAAATACAGGCGACACCTCCAGGCTTCGAGAGGGATGAACATTCATCAAAAGCAGAATATTTTATATTAGCCAAAATGTTGTGTTTGACACATTTCATGCTCAATAAATTCAGTTTGAGCACAAATTTGAGTTTAGAGAGCCATATATGAAACATGTTTTTTGTCTCCAGAGAAAGGCATACCACGCACACACTGATTAAAATACGAATAAGTATCATTTTAACTCTTACAGAGAAATTACAGAAGACGTGGCATATAGTAGTACATAATTCAACAAATCTATAATTAGTACACATAGACTAGAAACTTACACTATGTATTTTGATAAAATTATAAAATTGTATGCTTTATCTGAAAGAAGAAAAGGAATCTAATTTCTTCTGTTATTTGTCCTCTTCTCTCTTAATCCAGCTAGTGTCATCCTAACCAGCCTCATGTACGTATTAAATTCACAAAAAACAGTATTTGGTTTATATTTTGCAATAAATATATAATAGAAGATGAACGACATATCCATAATTGCATACACACATCGATATATATAAATGTGTGTGTGACTGTGCGCGAGCGCGTGTGTGTATGTGTGGCCGATGTGTGTATGCAATTATGGATATGTAGTTAATCTTCTCTTATATATTTATTGCAAAATATAAACCAAAGGCTTTTTTCTCCTCACGCCATAAAGGTCGGCAGATCGACAGGTCATGTCACTGTTCTAAATGCATTGCTTTCGATGTGTCTGTCAGGTAAAAGTTTCAACCCGGTGAGTCCGGAATTTACCGAACAAAGCCGACGATGTTTTCCGGCTTCCGGTAAACCTCGTTCCCGATTCCGGGGCATTAGCACCCACGACAGTGATGAATTTCCGTATAATCAATGCGAGTAGGGTGAAACAAAAATGCATGCGTCAGAAATCGAATTCTCCATGTCCTTTGATATGTCGGCAGGGCTTAATTGATTCATTACCGTCAAAGAAATCCCTTCATTAATTCCAATGAATAGTCTTTGATCACCCATATAGAAATATAACTGACAGATGTCTTGCAATCAGGGATATTCTTTATGTAATTTATGCCTATTGAAAAAAGTAGTTGACAGGTTTCACTGATATTTAAAAGCCACATAAATACCTTAAGAAGTGAGTGACTTGACCGGCTCTACGTAGGAGAACTTTCGTTACTTGAATAACTGTATGTCGTCAGTTGCTCTGTCCCACATATTGTGATCCATATGTCAAGTGTCCGTATGGAGTGTAAGTATAACGATAGTTTATTGAATCCCCTCTCTGACATTATGTGGAGTTAACAGAAAGATTTTAAGAAGAGTGGTATTTGTGTACCAGTATTTACCATATGTATGTTTAATTACTATAAAAAGTGTATTACTACAGCCGTTCCGTTGTCTGTTTTCCTCTATGTTTCTCCGAGCGTCATTCATAGTTCACATGTTAAATCAGTGATAGTTCAATTTCCGATGTTTGCTCCACCTGCCTTCAGATGTGTTGCCACGTGGCTTGTGCATCAGGGTAAATACTCTACGCCACCTCTACGTGCCCTCGCCCCACGGTTTGCCTTGGGAAATATCTTTGTATCGGATTAGGAAATTAAATTATGCTATTTATTGAAATATGAATAAAATACTACCCAAGATTATAACCGACCTCGTAATTAACAAAGAAGAGAACTTGATCACTGTGCCAAGGCAGCCTGTGCGACGCCACTCCAGTTAATTTCGTCCATTTAAATACGTGTTAGCAGTGTCATAATTTTCCGATAACTACGTTATGAATTCTCAGAAATGTATTTCAATCTGTTATACTGACAGCTTCCCGATTCGTTAGCTGTGAACTACACTGCTGTTCTTAGTCACACACGTAACGCAGCAGGTAGCATTATACATCACACTAAGTACTTTTTCATGCATGTTCAAATGGTATCTGTTTGCTAATTAAAGTTATCTGTGCATAAAAGCTTATTTCTTAATTATTTGTTTAAATATTTAGATGTGGTTGTTTGATTTTTGTCATTTCATTTTCAGGGTGTGAATTTGAATATTGCAAAATCATGTACCTTTTGGAGTATTAGCATAATATCTTTGACTCTCTGCTTGGGACTCGAAAATGATCTAAAGTAAAATGTATTGACAACAGAATACACATCACTTCTTCACACACTAATGAAGATACAACGCTACATTCATCTGAAAATAGTCAAGCCTTTAACACTTACTTTTGTCATGACAGAACTGTAATGTATTGCAGGATATAATGTGTACATTGCATGAAATGACGTGTTCATTCTTCCCGTTGTTAATCCAATTGAATTGAAAAAAGTTGCTGTGTGATAGTCTATAACGGCACAATTTCTTTGCTGTTTAAGGCGGGCAGTTGGTGAGGAGTACGCATGCTCAACAATTGATCGGAGTGGCAAAGATGCGGACAGGGATCTAGATATCGACATAATTATTTGGATGGTGGATTGGCTCCACGGAGCGAGAAGAACATCGGGAAAGTTTTCATCGGACTATTCGCCGGACAAGGGTTCCGTTGCTTTTGGAAATTCGCTCCTTGTTTAATCGTTGGAGACTGTCCCGGTGAGTGGTCGTGGAGGCTGGGTTTCTGGCAGGACAAATCAATTTAATCTTTACGTTTTCACGCTACTAAAGACTTTGAGTAACGATCTTATGAATGTTTCGTGGAACTTGTTCTACCATCCATATCAGAGATATTCAATAATTGGGCGTCAGGAAGGTTGGACGGATTGTTGTTTATTCTTCGACATCAGAGTGTGAAGCTAGCGAGTTAGGATTACCAGCTATTCCAGTATGAACCCGAACAGTGTGTAAATTTGTGTCGCGATTGTGCGGAAACTTTGAGGAACTTTATGTGATTTTAAAACTGAGATTATATCTTAGTTTGGTCCTTCAATTCGAGGAGAATAGCCAAGATGGGGTTTGTACCACCTGAATTTACGGAGAGGACCACGCAAATGTGGCAGACTTTCAATAACAAAGTTCATGAACCTAAACATCAACGCAAGCTGATCTTAGTAACTGTGTGTATAGCCCTCCTCCTGGATAACATGCTGTATATGGTGATCGTCCCCATTATACCAATCTATCTTAGAGACCTAAGAGGCGATCCCCCGGCAGTTGAAACAACGAATTACACCTATTATTATGTTCAGCTCTCCACACCAGTGACCCTTGCTAACGGTACAGTGTATAACTTCACGGAACAGAGGAAACGTCTAATCAACCTGCCCCCACCCCCGATAACATACGGGAATGAGGGTGGGGCCATAGGCGTCCTGTTTGCTTCTAAGGCTATTCTACAGCTCATGGTGAACCCGTTTACGGGTGGTCTTATAGACAGAATTGGCTATGATATACCAATGATGATTGGACTTGTGATAATGTTCTTCTCCACGTCTGTCTTTGCATTTGGGAAGAGTTACTGGGTTTTGTTTTTTGCTAGAAGTCTTCAAGGCATTGGTTCGGCGTTTGCCGACACTTCAGGACTTGCTATGATTGCCGATCGTTTTACTGAAGAAAATGAACGTACGAAAGCTCTCGGTATAGCCCTGGCATTTATATCATTCGGGTGTCTCTTCGCACCGCCGTTCGGAGGAATTCTTTATGAATTTGCAGGAAAGTTAGTCCCATTTCTTGTTCTGGCAACCGTATGTTTAATAGACGGATTTCTCCTCCTGCTTGTCATGAAACCTGTGAGACTAGAACGAGCACTGATCCCCCGAGAAGAGCGCCCACGAGGTACCCCTATTCACCACCTACTCCTGGACCCATACATCGCGGCTGTTGCGGGCGCTCTGGCAATGTCCAATGTCTCTTTGGCCTTCCTTGAACCAACGATATCTCTGTGGATGAAAGACACACTTGGGGCTGACGAATGGGAGATCGGCTTTGTTTGGCTACCTGCGTTTATTCCACATATCTGCGGTGTCTACCTGACCGTCAAACTGGCCCGGACGTACCCTCATTATCAGTGGCTGATGGCAGCCGTCGGCCTTGCCCTTGAAGGAGTCTTCTGTCTGTTCATCCCCTTCGCAAAAGCGTTCGCTGTCGTCATCGTCCCAATAATGGGAATCTGTTTTGGAATTGCTCTCGTCGATACCGCATTATTACCCTCCCTCGGCTATTTGGTTGATGTCCGCCATGTCTCTGTGTACGGAAGCGTGTACGCTATAGCTGACATTTCCTACTCTCTGGCCTACGCTTTCGGACCAATTGTCGCTGGCTCCATTGTGCACGCTATCGGCTTCCTCTGGCTCAACGTCGCCATTTTCATGAGCAACGTCCTCTACGCCCCTATATTGGCGTCCCTCCGCAACATCTACAAGTACAAACCTTTTGAAAACGAATCGGATATCCTCGTTGATGATCCTCCGAGCAAGCACTACCAGACCTATATGCAAAATGGTGGCATCGACGGGAAGCCGACACAGTTAAATGGCGACGCTATGAATCACCTTGAAGTCAACAAGAAACCCCCTCAGTACAGCGGCGAGATAGACTGCTACCCTCCCCAACACGAGGCAGACTACCTGTACACCAACGACTCATCGTCTTACTACCAACGCTGATACGTAAATTTGTACTTGAAACGAAAAGCTCCCTTAGATGAAGAAAACGTTATCAGTAAGAACATTCCTCTTCTAATCAAATCAATTCAGTCAACATACTTTAGATGATATGTATTCCTAGTGAATGAATGTGAGTTCTTATTCTCACCGTGAAAAACGCTGTGTCCTTGAGATGAGGACATCACCGCAATCTGCTCAAACTGCCCATACCGCGGTTTGCTTCATGAAGCCAACAGAAACTGATGTGTCGATATCTAATTGACACGCCCTGTGTTTTTACTCTGTAGACAGACTCTGACGACATAAACTGATGTCCATTGCATGTTAATGTCAGACCGAAATCTGCAACAAGGCATGTACTAACAGTGTTCATTAACAGAACAACTGGTAGAAACTCTTCTCAGGAGAACTGTAGTGTAGTTTCTAGCACTAGGAGTCGTGGTTTTAAACAAACATGAAAGAATATGGGGATTCTATTTCACCAACATATCACTCTGTAGATATTGTGTCAACCTTTAACCCGTCAGTATACTTACAAAATGTAATATGAATAGGATTTGCTTGTAGAGAACTGCAACTTATGACCAGTTTTGTTAATCGAATGATTGAATATGATTGTTGCCGATACCATTATACGATAGGTGTAGTATAGAGTAAACAGACCATTGGTTGTGATTTAGGGGAGTTCTAGTCATAGTCTGTAGTAATGTTTAGTTGCAATGAAAAATATGTATTTCATACACTTTTCAGGATACCTTGTGTAGTTATGGATTTAGACCAATGGTATTGATATTTTTGTCACATCTCTATCTCTCCTTAATAACGAAAACCACGTTAAACTGTAACACCATTTTGTTAAGTGTTCCAAATTTTAGAATTTGTAGACACTTTTGAATTCAAATCAATTTTCTACAAAGACGATTTAGTAGATACAGATCTTCTAATAGATTCAAGCAGGTTCTCATTAATATTTTATTCAAATGAATATAGTGCTATTCGCATAGAGGACATGGTGTTGGGAAAAAGTTGTTGGAGTGTAGCAAGTTGGTGACTGGTTGTCCGTCCACAGTTACAGTAGGTAAGCTTTTAAATACTTTGTTGAAGTTTAAAATACTTATTTAAAATGAAGACTATTTGAATGTTTGTAAATAATGCCCATGTTTCCATGTTGCTGTTAACCTACAGCCCAGTGAACACGTATATATTAAACCACATCTTCATAGTGTGATAAGCAGAGGATGATAGATTGTAGATACATTTCTCCATTTTTTCACTTGAACTTGTTGATATGTGTGGGTTCTATGTGGTTTAAATTGTTAGCATATACTATGTTTTAAAGGTTATGATCACATGTGTATAATGCTTTAGAGGAATTAACACACATGAAATGAACAGATCTTAATATTGAAGTGCAATAAATATCTGTAATGAACAGAATATATAGCTGTAGTCCTTATGTTTTACTTTGGCCATTGTCAGTGTCACGGGCCGCTGTAATCAAGGACATTGTTGATTCAGCAGCCCCGTAATACTTGAAGAAGAATCAAAGCAGATAGTTACAAGTGTGGTCATGTTTTAAAGCTTTCAATGATTCCAAGGTATATGTTTGCTGTCTACGCGATAGCGATATGGCCAAAATATGGTTCCTTTAAATTTAGTTTCAATACGGACGATAAATAAAAGGTAATATTTGATATTCATGAAAAGAAACAATAGGAATGGGATGAAAGGTCAACCTAATGTACCTGTTCGTATGTTAGTCAGATTCCATGGAATAGTTTGCTAAAATTGTTGCAAGTGTTTAAGATATGTAACCTTTACATAATTCATACAATTCATAATAATATCATATCAACCTGTTTAACATTAACAATGTTATGTGAATGTGTTATCATAATTTATTTACAGTCCCTACACAAATTTCAGATTTAAGGTTAATGAAAACCCCTACTCACTACACCGATTGCTTCATTACATCCTGGGGTTGAATAATCTTTCTAATTTTGAATACTTTAGTACTAATAATTTTAATGTATGATACATGTAAATACTGAATTTTAGTAATTTCTCAGAAAACAGCTAAGTTAAATAAAATTGACTTTGAATACATTTCATGTCCCCAATTAGCATATCTTATAAAATACTGTTCCGATCATATGCCACGTCTTATCAGAAAGAGAGAAACACCTTCGATTTCGAATATAGTTTATTTAAGACCATATCATTTCCTTTCGTGTCTACACCTGTTCTTCAATTTCCAGATGTTGAATTATCAAAACATACTGTTCTTTATTTAATGTATGTTCAAACCAATACCTATTAGTTGTGTTTGCTATATAAACAACGGGCAATATATATATATATATATATATATATATATATATATATATATATATATATATATATATATCGGGTATTCTCCTAAAAGTATTCAGAATTCTTAGAATGTATTTGTATATGTGTATGTAATTATGTAAAAGCATTTATTTAGCCTCTTGCATATAGAGCTAGTGACCTAGACATTTCGAGAGAAAAGAAATAATGGTCTGGTGAAAAAGGAACATGGAACTTACATTGACATTTATTTTACCTTTGTCCTCGCAAAAAAGAATGCCTCGACATGTTTTAAAACCCTACACGACCGACGCCACAAATAACATGGCACTGTTTTATAGATGATATCCATTATCCCTGTTTGCAGCCAAGCGATGAAATAGGCAAATAGCATTTGAAAATCGTGGGGTATGTCACCAACCAAATGATCATGTTTAGACAGGACGATAACATTCAAAATATTGCTTCTACACAAACGTAACATGACACTATATTCTCAGCGAATTTAGGCCCTGTTTGATATGAAGTACCACTGTGTATAGTCACCATAAACATCGATTTCTGTTGATAGCGTGACAGAGCGATATCTTGCTTACAAATTTATAGGAATTATGTCCTTTAATCAAAGCAAGAAATCTTTCTTTATGAGTTTGTTCTTGGTCACAAAGAGTAACCATTTACAATGCAACACGATAATATCTGATGACCGTGTGCAATGAACGATGTGATGGCGCGCACTTCAGCTGGATCTGAACTCTCTTGAAAAGTTTTACATAGTTTTAGGATAACGATAAATTACCATATATGCAATAAAGTTTTCGTACATTATTAAAGGTCCTTTCGCGCACAGACAGCTGCAATGCTGTTTGATACAATTCTTCCCATACTGACGTCATTCGACATGAACAAAGCGACACATCCTGGAGAACAGGTTCAGTAGTTTAGTAATATTGAATAAGCGAATGTTTCCAGGACATTGTGTCAACCATGCGATCCATCACGCCAAGCCCAGCGTGCGTACCATTCACTTGCTGACTTCATTAATGCGATGATTCCTTCCTGAACATGTCCTTGGAATACAGAGTAAAGGTTACATACAATTTACTCATTGTTAAGATATTGTACTTTATATACTAAATCACATTATATTTTTCTCGCATCCAGTGTTTTATGTCCTGGTTCTATTCTGAAGAATGTCTTTACATGTGGGAAGAAGAGCACTGGAAATGTTAAACAGAAACACTTCTTTGTAAACGTTATGGACATACGTTACTTTTGTAGACCGTTCACTGAAAAGAATATTTTATAGGAAGGCAGATCTGCATTTATCTTGCTGAAAAATAAGAGGAAGCTTAACTAATTTTTGTTTTAACTATAAGAAACTTTTTAAATCCAATTTTAAACAATAGTTACCAAAGTGACATTTGCAAGTACGACAATAAAAGCCGCACCACTTGCTTGTAGTATCGCAGGGTCATCGAGTGAAGCGGTTGACGAGAGATTATTTCATCTCACTTTCAGTAAGAAAGTAACAGGTAGATATATAATTAAATAAAGTTTATCTGTTGTCTTTTCAGAGCTTATTTTTTAAAATCGATATAACTTACGACATCTTGAGATGGATATGTGTTTCGATAATCGCACCAACAGCAAAAAATATGAATATAAAAACAATCTTAATATCAGTTTGTACAAAACCGCAGTCAATAAACTCCAAAACCTATAACCGCCCGCAATAATACGTGATATAGAAAGGGAGAGGACTGATGAATAACAAAATAATGACGTGCTAAACACTCAAGCAGGAGCCATTGTTGCTTATTGACACTTCTGATGCATGGGAGGACGGGGCATGGGGTCCGTTTTCTCGCACGTGCTTTCAGATGCCATTAAGAGCAAGCTTGATTAATCTTTTCATCAAATACTCTGACTATGAAATCCCTCCTCCATCTGTCGAGGGGATACTATATATGTCTCAATCAAATGTTACTGTTGTGTTACTGTAGAATATTTGCCGGAGATTACCGAGTCGAGTACTCTCGTAAGTTTCCGGTGTTCCTCGCGCGTAATTGATCGTGCGTGTTGATATATATTTTTGGTCCTTGAGTCTGCTGCAAGGAACAGCAACAGGACATGCTATGACGTGAAGACGCCTTCAGGTTATAGGAGGATGTTGTACTGCAGTACATGGTCCACTTCATTAGACTTCAAGTTTTCATGATTGTGCTTCCGAGAGATGTGTTCTATAATCAATTTTCATCCGAACTTTTCTCCATTTACGAATAAATTTGCACCGATATTCTAATTCATTATCGATATTGTTGAAAATATGGAGTGTGTATTTTACACCCTAAAATAGTATATGTTTGCATGTCTCATCCAACTAACATTGAAACTTCTAAAAAATCAATGTAATATGTAATATAAAAAAACCACAATAGGTTTTCCCCTAACATTGATCATATACGTGGTTCCAGGCGTGCATGACAGCTTGGCACTACGAGGCACAACCTAGAAAACCACAACTAAATAAAATAGAATAAAAAGTTTTAAGCAATCTGGCAGCCATGTTGCTGGATTTCAGTATCTCCAATACGAAAAATAAAGTATATTCTGATTGCCTGACGTTGTTAATTTGATTGTTGTTTAACGCCGCACTCAGCAATATTCCAGCTATATGACGGCGGTCTGCAAATAATCGAGCCTGGACCAGACAATCCAGTGATTGATATCATGCGCAATATCCACGCAATTGGGATACTATGACATGCATCAACTAAGTCAGCGAGCCTGACCACCCGATCCCGTTAGTCGCTTCTTACGACAAGCATAGTCGCCTTTTACGGCAAGTATGGGTTGCTGAAGACCTATTCTACCCCGGATCTTCACGGGTCGCTCATCTGTCTTAAACTATGTTTGGAAGTCCTATACAGTGTATTACATGAGGTGAATCAGCTTACGGTCACATTTGACGTTTAGTTAGGTTACATCACCCAGTTAGGTTACATATATCTCACTACACGATAACATAAAAACAATTATGTTGTGGGTTAACTCTTAGAAGATCTTTGATCATGAATTTATCCGTTCTTTTAGAATGATAACGTCGTGAACAAATATGAGCCTCTTCATTGTTAGAAACACCCAAATATGTTCAGTCCATCAAGTAGATCTGGAGAAAAGGCGAAACATGTCCTGTTTACGATATGTACTCCCGTGAATCTCTGAGCCATATAGACAGTATGTTCCTCTCTAAGTTTAAGATCGGAAGACAAACCACCCAAAGCCATGTGACCATCATCCCCACGACACACCACTCACATTCCACCCGAAACATGTGACCACCATCGCCACCAAACACCACTCACACACTATACAAATCATGTTACCACCATCGCCACCAAACACCACTCACACACTATACAAAACATGTGACCACCATCGCCACAAAACACCACTCACATTCCACCCGAAACATGTGACCACCATCGCCACCAAACACCACTCACACACTTAACAAAACATGTGACTATCATCGCCACCAAACACACTCACATTCCACCCGAAACATGTGACCACCATCGCCACCAAACACCACTCACACACCATACAAAACATGTGACCACCATCGCCACCAAAAACCACTCACACACTACACAAAACATGTGACCACCATCGGCCCCAAACACCACTTACATTCCACCCGAAACATGTGACCACCATCGCCACCAAACACCACTCATACACTATACAAATCATGTTACCACCATCGCCACCAAACACCACTCACATTCCACCCGAAACATGTGACCACCATCGCCCCCAAACACCACTCACACACTATACAAAACATGTGACTACCATCGCCACCAAACACCACTCACATTCCACCCGAAACATGTGACCACCATCGCCACCAAACACCACTCACACACTATACAAATCATGTTACCACCATCGCCAACCAAACACCACTCACATTCCACCCGAAACATGTGACCACCATCGCCACCAAACACCACTCATACACTATACAAATCATGTTACCACCATCGCCACCAAACACCACTCACATTCCACCCGAAACATGTGACCACCATCGC